ACGGCGAGACCGCTTCGTGGCAGAGCTTGACTTTATTAGCAGCGGTTCCCCCCCCCCCCCCCCCCCCCGGCCCCGGCCCGCGGCCGCCTTTAGCCATTACCGGGGCGGCTGCCGGCGCTGCCGTGGGGTTTGGAGGCAGACGCCAGAGCAGGCTGGGTTTTGGATGCTGTTTGGGAGAGCACGCTGGCTGCCTCGTGCGAGGCAGTTTTAAACGGCAGGTGGCCTGAAATCGGGCTTTTAGGGGACGGACGCTGGCTCCGGGGAGTAAAAACCCCCCGGGCCGCAAGCCTGGAGACGCACATCCCGGTTCTCCGCCAGGCCGCTCCCGAAGACGGGCGATCGCCGGGGACGCAAAGGCACGCGAGACGCGACACGCCACGTTCGGGGCTTTTCCGCCCCGTCCAGCTCGTGGCGAGGGACGCTGCAGGCATCACGGCGTCGAGCGCGGCGCCGTCTCCCGCCCGCTGCCTCGGCGGGAGGAGGAATTAAAATAAAAACCCGCGCGGCGGCGGGCGAGGGAGGCAGGGCGGGTCTCCCTTCGGAAAGGAGCCGGGCGCGCTCCCGCGCCGTGAAGTTTAGGATGCGGGAGGTGCGCCGGCAGGAGAAAGGCGACACGTCCCCTTTAAAAGGAAATATAATTTACAGTGTGCAGCCAGGCGGCCCATAGTTTCAATCTCGTTTACTATAGAGAAAACTCTGCTAGCTGTTCTCTATCCCACAAATCCGATTTAATCAGACAAGCCAGCCAGCGTGGCTTGAAGTAAAAACGGATAATTAGTAAACAGAGAGCTACTTCAGTGCTTCATTGGCATTCGAGCCGGGCTAGTGTGTCGCATTTAAAATGCAGTCTGATGAAGTTTACAAAATCAAACCATTTGTTACTCCTATTGAAGAGGCTTCAGGCCACTTGCAATTAAATTGGAATTAGTGCTCAGAATGAGATACAGCAAATTCATACTAAAAAGGGATCTGACTTTCAGACATTTGACTTCAAGTTTTCCCCCCCCCGCCCCGTGCGCGCGCGCGTGCGCGCTC